TATATTGGTTTAATATACATCAAATATTTAAATAAAAATGCATGTTACTTCCATTTAAGGAGAAATTTCAAGGATAGCTTTAGATATTGTTTTAGTACATATTTATACATTAATTTTTATTATTGTTGATATTGTTGTTGTTGTTGTTTGTTGTTGTTATTAGTAAATGCCAATTTCAAAATATGTGTTATGAAAAATAGAAATAAAGCATATATATGTAATCCAAAATAAATAAATAAAAAAGAATCAAACTTTATTTCATTGGTTTTGATACTTATAAAGATCGATGAACTAGTATAGTTATTTCTCAAATTCCTCATATTACCAATTTATTCATTAAAACGCTTATTTTGTATCATCATCATCACATTCTTTTGTATATCTACATTCAAAACAAAATATATGTATATATATTCTATTATTTTTTCAAAAAAATATTTTTGATAAAGTAAAAAAATATTCTATATGAAATAAAATCGAACAAAATTCATATAAAAATCTTCTTCTCTTTGTCAAGCTTTTTCAGACTTCACACTTCATTGTGCACATTTTTTTCCAACAAAAAAAAAAGTACATAAAGTGAAAAAATTAAAATGATAAAAAGAAGTAATGAATAAAAGTGTCATAATAGTGTTATAAATGATGATTTATAATTGATGATGAATGAAATTATAATCATATATTTTTATTCTCGATAAAAATTAGGCATCTATTCATCTTCCTTCAATTTAATTCATTCATTATATATGTAATGAAAGTTAATAGTGATAAAATAATTAATAATATTAAGAAAAGAAGTGAAAATGAAAGAGAAGAAGATGAGAAGATAAAAAAGTAAAACTAAGATTATTAGTACGTATATTTATTATATTTTATTGTAGAAAATAATTTACTTTCTTTTTTTATTTCTAACAAATATATTTTTTATAATTAAAATAAAAATGACAAATTTTAGTACTTAAATAATACTTGAGAATAGCATTTTATATAATATCTATAGATATAAATACATATAGATATAGATAGATATACATATGTAGATAGACAATTAATTTAAGAAATTTTTTATTTTTATTTTTTATATAAATTTTATTAGTTATTAATCTAATAATCAAATAATTTTACCTTATACTTTTATTTTTTTTTCACCATCCTCAATTATTTTTAATCTTTATTTAATCAAATTCATAATTCTTAAAATTAAGGTTAAAAGGTATCAACTATTATTTTAATAAAAAAATCAAACCATACTTATTCTTAATATGCAAGATTTACATGAAGTATTATAAAATAGGGAAAAGTAACAATTCCTTCTTCTTCTTCTTTTTTTTTTTTTTTTGGTTACATATGTTTTTACCAACTCTTTTCTCTATAATTGCTTAATTTGCAAAATTTTGTTTTATGGTTATTTTTCTTATCCTTTCTCTCATTTCCAATTTCCTATCATTTTTGTTCATTTCTATTTTATTCCTTTAACTTGTATTACAAACTATTTTGATATATTAATATAAGTGCTTAAATCAAAGTTACTGTCACACCCCAAAACCCGAATTAGAGGCGCGACAGACGCCGTGCACTTGTGAGAAAGTCTCACAAATGCACAAAGCTTGGAACTTATCATATCACAGTTTGATAACACCAAAATCTAAAGATCAAATCTTTAAAATTTCTCCGATATCATAAATCTCCAAATACACTCTAGCTTATAAAATCACGATTTATTTCTAAAATCTATATCAATCTCGAAATGGCTGGCCATCTAACTCGTCACTTCCCGTGGTTTCCCCGTCCTCGGTTTCGGTTCCTGAAATGGTGGACAAGGAAAAACTATGAGATAAATTCAGTAAGTAAATATGGATAGCCCTTAATTAAACTTATAGCATGCCAACATGTGCAATCACGAAAAACGGATACAATACGAGAACGAAATAGACATCTCCTCTATAGGTCACGGCCAACGTCTAACACCCACTGGCAGGTGCATTGTTTGCTAGTGTATAATTCCCACAAGCAGGGTCACTGTTTGCCAGTGTATAATCCCCACAAGCAGGGTCACTGTTTGCTGGTGTATAACCCCCACTAGTAGGGTCACTCAACGAACCGGTTCTATCAATAACATGTCGACATGTGCTAGCGTTTATAACCTCCCCCACTAGCAGGGTCACTAATAACATATCGACATGTGCCGACATGTGCTAGCGCTTATAAACTCCCCCACTAGCAGGGTCACTAATAACATGACCACATCGGAGACAAAACAGGCAGAGGTTAACAGAAAAATCATACTTTACCAATCACTTTCAAATCATCAGGACAATCACTTAAATTTCCAAGTAGGCATGCTCAATTTAATGAAAGCATCAAAATCTCATTTCAAATCAATCATGCTCATTTCTGTATAAAACGGGTTTAGTCCCGCCACCACTTCAAAAACAAATCAAAACATGCTTTTAAAACAGTACGGGTGTTACCATAATTTACTTACCTCACTCCGCAAAACCGAGCACTCAATTCACGTACTAAACTGACAGAACGATCGAGAACCTAATCAAAATACCTCAGAATTAATACCGGACTATCACAAATTTAAACTGAAATCATCATTAAGATCACCCTTAATCATGATGCTATTTCTATAAATCTCCACATTATCAGATATCTCCAAATTCGTTCTTATATCACAAACTAATCACTTAAATCCCTATTAATTGTTGGCCCTCGGTGTGTGAACAGTGTTCGGTGAACAGTACCACGCATGGTTGTTAAAATCGCGATCTAAATCCTAAGATCACACGATTTTACGATGTTAAACGGCTTCAACGATCTGAATCGGACAAAAATCGTGGGTCTTGAAGAATCGATCGAAGATCGCGCACATAATCGTGAGATCGTGAGATCGTGTGATCTTGAACGATTTTAGAAACTAAATTC